TGTTCAATATTAGCTGTGGCCAGGTCTTTGCGTGCTTTTGTTATAACATGGTCAACATGTCTTTGAATGGTATCTCATCCGATTTGTTCTCGTCAAAATTTCGTCTTTGTCTTTCCACTGCTATTAAGTCTGTCTTCATTATATGATTGTTCAAGGAGAACCACGTTACTGGGGCCTTCAAAGGGTTTACATGTACATTAGAATCTACACAGGGGTAGATGCGACGAAGTTCACTGTGCATTAAACTGGCACAATCTCTTGACCATCTCTTTAATGTCGGTATACTAAAATGTCTTCAGCAAATGACAAGGTCCTGCCACTCCCGTGCAATAGCTGCTCTTTTATCTGCACTGTGTACACATTGAAAAGAACTAGAGACAGCGGAGAGCCTTGTGGCAGTTCTGGACAGATGATTATCGATTTCTAGGTCAAACAACCACACTTTAGTATCACCCGTCTCTAAAAGAGTGTTGTGGCTACCCAACGGCTGATTAAGGAAAACACTTGCAATTGGAGACTTATGCGCACCAAGTGATCAAACGGTACTCTTTTGTACGCATTCTCTATATCTATTGCGGCTGCACATGTCTCTTCTTTTATCTGAAAACCTTTCTAGACTTCACAGATGAAAAACTGCTGCCTTGAGCCATGTTTCATTGCTTCGTCTGTATGCTCCAAGAGTGGATGGTAACCTGACATGCTTGTCCAAGTCATCAGCGAGTCTACGTGCTACAGTTTTCTCCAGAAGCTTGCCTACAGTGTAGTGCTCTGCATGGTAATGATTCTGTAGCCGCTAATCTTGGAATGGCCCTTCTTTGGTTTTGGTAATGGTATTAGAAAGCTATGTGGCTACTTCTGTCTGATCTGACCAGTTTTGACGTTAAACTCTCCTGCCAGTTCTGCAATGTTGTCCTTTGACGTCTGCAGCATATCAGCATACTGGATGCCGTCGGGGCCTGGCGAAGTGTTGAATGATTTCTCAAATGTTGTCCGTATGGTCCCAGTCGTAATACTGAAATCGTCACTTAGCTCTGCCTTTTCACACAATTCTCAGTCTGGCTTCCTCATCTTTCTGGTCGGTGTGGTCCAAGTCGTGCTGAATGAGAGCCTGTCTTTTGTCTGCATCATATTTCTGCCATGTAAGATCTGTGCTTCGAAAGTCTGGTATACCCTGACGTCGTGTGGTGCCATTCATCACCCTAAAAAGTCGCTAAAATCTGACAAGAGACCCTTCAGAGAACACCTTACAGTGATCATCCCAGGTGTCATTCTCGACATACTTTGCGCATAGCTTGAAAGCAATCGTTGTCTTATCGACTTTATCTTTCTGGTCACTCAGGAGCTCGCACTGCGACGCACTACTCTTCCTGGCCCTCTGCCAAACCTTGACAGCCTGCCTTTTTTCAAGCGATGCCTTTTCAACCTCTACAAACCACTATGGTGGCTAGGTCCATTTTTTTTTTTTTTAGTTCGTGCTTGTCCTTTTGTATTGTGTTGCAGTCTATCTAAATTATTAAAAGTATAGATGTTACTTTGTTAGTGAAAGCTTATCTCCGACAATTCTTCACAGATCGCTTTTTAATTTTGATACAACGTTGTATTCGAAAACTCGAGTGTTTTTATATTAGAGCGTCGCATAAAGCACGTACTACATAGTTCCAGCGACGATCACATCGGTTTTTGTTTCGCTGCCTCATTCCCCGCGCGGATTTTTACTTTCGCTGGTAGATGAACTGTGACTGTTGATCTCGGAAATCTGCAGAAAGCTGTAAGCCGACAGTTCTTCACTGATTGCTTTCACATTTTGACACAACATTAGATTTGAATGCGCAAGTGCTTTTACATTAGGGTGTCACTCAAAGAACGAACGACATAGCAGCATCTTGGTTTTATTTTCCAGTTTGTTTTCATTGCCGCGTTCCCGGTGCGGGTTGTAGTTGAACTGAATGAAGCTGTATGAGATGATAATTTATGTGGTAAATATTATACTGTCCGCATTTACTTCTTAAAACAATTCTTGCTACCCATTTTAGTCTGGGTGACACGGATGCCAAAGTAAATTAAAAAAATTTGAAAAAAAAAAAAAAAAGAACGATATCATCAGTTAATGAATTGCAAATCCTTCGCAGAGGGAGAGAGGAGTAGTCGATTAAATAAGGAAGGGGGGGGGGGGGGTGTGTGGTAATGTCAGTCACTGTTAACTGAGAGCTTAAAACATGTTTTTAACCTCTAATGTTTTAATTATTTTTTTTTTACGCTTACTCGGCTGTTATAATTTTTTTTTGACGAATTCGTTGATCATTTAGAAGTACAGAAGTAAGCTATACATTCAGCTGTTGAACAAAATTAGCATGTGATAAAGAAATAACCATATTTTAACTAATGTTATATGTAGCGTATTCTAGAGTCAGAAAACAAGACAATCTCTATATTTGCGCAAACAATGATTGTGATATTATCTATACTAGACACGTGTGCTGTCTATTTTCTCTTTTTCATTTCGTCAGACTGAGCCACAGCAACGCGTGGCCAGTATAGCTGGTCGAGCAGTAATGATCATGTTACAAATGTAATAATAGTTTACTGCTTCATATTATCATTGACTTTCATTTTTTTGGTCTGAGCATTTCAGTTTATGACTAGTCAGTTGGGTGTAGGAAAACATGGAGACGTTTAGAGTTATGGCGTTAGGATGTTTGCAAGCCATGATGTCTAATAACAATAAAAATAAAAACGTTTGACTGTAAAATGATGTATTAAATCCATCCGCTAAATTCGATGTCCAGACAGTGTTTTGACCTGGTGGTTACTGTGTTTTTACCTCAAGTTTATACATCCAGCATCTTGAATCAAGTTATCCTCACAGTAAGCTCGTTTCGAGTTGAGCGGAGTTGATTCAAGAATTGACATCACAGCACTCAGGGCATTGCCATGGATGCTCCGTCCTTATCTTCAGCAGCCAGCGCAGAGTTCCAATACTGATGGTACCGGTCACAATGTCCGTCTTGCCTTTCCTCTGAGTGTAGTGAGCCGGCCAGACCCTCTGGTTACACCCAGGTGCCTCATTGTCTCCAGGCCATAATAATTTTCTTTCTCTACTGACTCCGTTGCTTGTTCTCAAAGCAGACGTGTTGAAACGACTCAACTTTATTAAAAGTACCGAATTTATAACATTATATATATAAACATTCACTGACACACACACACACGCACACACACACACATACACACATATCCGAAGCTTCAAGTTTACGAGAAAGGCAAATGGCTGCCTCATAGTTATTGTAGCAGCTTGTCCTACGTCTGAGCTCTGTTGATATTTCAAGAGTTTCTAAACGTCTGAACGGTTCTTGGTGCCTGTTTATTTCGGGAAAAACAAATAATAGACAACTAGCCAAGCGGATCTTTGTTTAAAAACGGCATCAACATAATTACCATAGACGTAGAATGTATTTTAAAGGTACATATTGGAGGGGGAGGGGGGGGGGGGAGGTCAAAAATAGATTTGAAAAGCTACTAACAGACAATCACGGAGCAAATGTAGAGGTCAGGGGGGAAAATGTTTGGGTGCTGCAGAAAGTGTATGGTACACAACGACGCTAGAACCGTGTTGAGCACCTAATTTTTGTGTTACTTGAATATACATGGTCAGACAGAAAGATAGACACACACACAAAAAAAAAAACAGATACACAGATGGGTACAAAGACAGATTCTTCACAGACTTTCATACATATGCATAAATAACCAGACAAGAAGTCAGAAAGGAAGACAGGTAGTTAGACATAAAAATAGATTGAACACGTAGACATAGAAATAAATTAAACATATAGACAGATATAGATAAAAAGATAGACATACAGGTATGTAGGTAAGAAAGTAAACAAACAAACAGACACAGACAAAAAGACAGACAGACAGACAGACAGACAGACAGACAGACAGACAGACAGACAGACAGACAGACAGACAGACAGACAGACAGACAGACAGACAGACAGACAGACAGACAGACAGACAGACAGACAGGCAGGCAGGCAGGCAGGCAGGCAGGCAGGCAGACAGACAGACAGACAGACAGACAGACAGACAGACAGACAGACAGACAGACAGACAGACAGACAGACAGACAGACAGACAGACAGACAGACAGACAGACAGACAGACAGATAGACAGATAGACAGATAGACAGATAGATAGATAGATAGATAGATAGATAGATAGATAGATAGATAGATAGATAGATAGATAGATAGATAGATAGATAGATAGATAGATAGATAGATAGATAGATAGATAGATAGATAGATAGATAGATAGATAGATAGATAGATAGATAGATAGATAGATAGACAGATAGATCATTATCATCATCATCATGTAGCAGATCCTTTGCAGAACGTCGCTCTCATCACAGTCTGCCTGAAAGAAACTCGGTCTCTCGCCAGTTCTCCCGGTTCATGCACTTTCACACTCAAGGAGTCACTTTTATCCTGTGCCCATCTTCGCGTCGGTCGGCCCCTGCTCCTCCATACTGGTACCATGCCTTTTGCTATAATTTTTCCAATCCGTCGTGGCGCTTGATATAACCAAAATATTTCAGCTTTCTAGAAAGGATGCTGTTTATTAGCCAATCTTCCTTGATATTCAGATCTTTTATGATGTCAATATTTCTCTAAAAATAAATAGATACGATAAGCAAAATTTAGAATGCTATATTATCCCATTAAATTAATAAAGAATGTGTTGATCAACTGACTGTCAAAAGTCGTATATATATCATGTTAATTTTGTTTATTTAGTCATAAATTATTATTATTTTTAATTTTAATTTTTTTGCAGGTTCCATTTTTACCTTTGACAGAACAACCAAACACAACTGATCAATGTTGAATGAGGATTATTCAAGCCCTTTTCAACCCTGTCCATGGAACTACGGTAATGCAGTAGATGATGTGACTCTGATCATTAAGTAGACTGGACAGAGTGATTCAAATCTATGCTACATGTCCACCAGCAATCTCTAAAGGTGAAGGAGGGAAACGGATACCTGGAGGGCACATGTGGAGCTGGTGTTGCACATAGAGGACTCAGTGTTACTAACAGGGGCAGGCGAGGTGGAAGCCGCTCTGAAGAGGACAACGACGACAGTGAGGCAGAGACAGGCCTCTGGCATCAACGATGTAGGCCTTGGGCTTGCACAATGGAAATGTTCTCCATGCTGAAGCACTCAATGGGAGCCGACGATGTGAACCCCATCACCAAGTACTTCACCATCGGTAAACAGACCGCAAGTGCTGGCGTAGAAATGGTCTGGAAGATTTATGAGGCTGTCCGCACCGATGACAAAAAGGTTGGTATTTCGGCAAAGAGAAATATAGTTTGGAGACCCCGTTATTTTGCCTCTCTCTCGCTCTCTCTCTCTCCCTCTCTCTCTCTCTCTCTCTCTCTCCTCTCTCTCTCTCTCTCTCTCTCTCTCTCTCTCTCTCTCTCTCTCGCTCTGTTTCGGCCGCTCGCCCTGCCTGTTTCTCTCTAACACTGTTTATATGTCAATATGTCTGCCCGCATGCCTACCTGTCTGTCTGTATTCCTGTTCACTTGCATGCATGTTTCGATGATTTAGTTGTGTATCATAACAATTTAATGCTTACTTCTGTTATAAAGTCAACGACTTAACATTACTGGGAAACTAGGCCACACTATCACCAGCCCAGATGGTGCCCTGCTACTTGGAACGGAAACAACTCTCTCCACTCACCTCACGAAAGATACGAGATCCTGGCTGTCTGACGATCTTAGCTCCAGTGCTACTGGTTTAAGAGTTAAGGCAGCCTTGTAGCTATCCAAGTAGTCAGCCGCCAAATTATAGTTAATGTAGTATAAAACAAGTAATTAGAGCTCTTATTTCATCATTTAGATTTCCAAATGAAACTTTTTGTTACCGATCTGGTCTCATCCCTCACATTCTTAAGTGTAACTTTCTGTTACTGATCCAATGATATCCTTTGTTATAACACTAGAGCGCATGATCTTTCACTGCAAGAACGAAAGGAAAAGTCGTCGAAGAAGACAGTGGAATCTTTGCTTCTACCACCACCAGCTTAACATTGGAGCTCATGGCTGTGACAAAGGAGCTAGAAATGGCTGAAAACTTAGGAATTCACCAATGCATGTTTGCTCAGCGACTCAACGAGCATGCTACAGAAGATCAAGATACACGGAAACAAATGCTCCATCTGATACAGAACGCAGCGTTTCGCAAGATCACCTTTATTTTTGTCCCAGGGAATGATGGTGTGAAGGGTAAGGAGAGAGCAGACGCCCTGGCTGGCAGTGCGACTTTCACGAATGGACTATCTATGGACAAGAAAGACAACATCAACGCCACACGAGAGACTAAACGCTGTGAGGCTTTCGGTTACTGAACAGACTGCATACCATGGGTTGAAGGCGTAAGACAGGAAAACTATACGTGAGGCACCTGTCGTTACATCAGACAGAACAGAATGGGAGGTTTTAGCCTAAAATACTTGGAGACATACGCAGGAGGAGATCGGAGCACTCATGGACATGTCCGATGTGCACTAAAGATGATCTTTGAATGTACAATTTACAATGAACCAGAGCCCTCCATGCAATAATTAAATAACTATCCACTTTCATGTGTCCGCGTGTCTAGTGTGTAAATCGCCGAATGCGTGGACTGGGAAAGGTCAAAGATAAAGTGTTCCTGTTGTTTGGATGTGCTGAAAGCCATAACGTTCTGGTAAAGTTAGATACAAAGAGCCGGCATAACAACCATAGCTAAAAAAAAAAAAAAAAGCGACAGTCGTTATTTTTGAAACATTAGTAGAAGTGACAAACTGAAGCAAATTATTACTGGTAAAATATTTTTAGAAACATAGAATAATGAAGACAACGAGGAGATTCTTGACAGCCCTTTTATCATGGCACTGAAAACAATCCAACATACTGAAGGATACATTCTATGGGAAATAACAAGGAGTGCTGTGGCATGGCTTTCCCTTGCCTCAGTCGGCAGGACACTTACTAATGACTGCGACTGTAGCGCATTCTATTTTGTGAAAATCAAAACCTGGCAATTAACTTGACACATTGTACTGTAATTATCATAAAAATTAATTTACGTCTAAGCAGCGCTCATTTCTTAACACAACATTTACTGGTACTACCTACCATACATTGGCCTATAAGTTCCGGTACTCACCCAAACGGTCTATTACATTAAAGGTACCGGTGTTGCGTACCGTTGCATAATTCTAAAACGAAATAGGCCTAAAACTAAGATATTTGTCACCAACGCTTCAACAGTACACAGGCATCTTACATCTACACCACTTCATGACTTCAATGTTTTACATACTGATAACAGCAGCGTCACCATTCCTGTGAGACGCTACTGATTGCCAACAGATACTGAGCTCCTTGACAGTAAGCGAAATCGTGAGCACAGATTAGCAACAGGGCAACACGCTGGAGTCCAATTATACAGCATTAACGTCACCGGGTTTGTCAGCGCTAATAGGCAACTTTGTTCTGTCCACAAACGACTGTTAATGACCGTTGACTGAAGATGGAGGTGTTATTTAGGCTGAATGAGAGTTACGGATACATAGTCTGTTGTACAGCATTAGCACACGACTCTATTTTGGGAGTCCGTGTTTAGGCAGGGGCAACGTGTTCAGCAGCACAGGGCGGCAATATTTTGTAGGAGGACAAATTGTAAGTGAAAAGTAAAATAGTTATTATTTGTAACTGCTTTCATCCTTATCATACCTGCATTGTATTAGCAATTAAAAAAGTATCACTATCGCCAGATCCCCTGGTAACACCTCGTATTCTCCTTTGACCGTAATGTTCTATTTGTGTCTCCGCACTGTTCACTCGCTTACAAAGGGCACTCACAACATCAATCTTGCCATACATCAGTTTTGCATGAGGTAGTGCAGAACCTGCCAGTCTTCCTCTCTGCTCATTTCCTAACACATCGGCATCGCTAGGGAAATAAATCCACAGGACAGGTGTGATTCTTGCTAGGACACTTGGACCCACTCCTTTGCTCGCCCGTATTTATTAAGTCTGCACACATAACTAATTGTGTCTTCAGCTTGCTATTTTTAGTCTGTGACCCTTAGCTCTACATAGGGCTTCAGTGCAGGAAGTGCTTGGTGTCTACAGCTCCTCTGATATATGACTTTGCTTGCAGAACTTTAAGCCTATCTGCAATAGTAGATAGTGTAAGTATTAACGCATACATATTACCGGCGTATATCGTGTAAATCTCAGATATACGCACATGGCTTTATTCTGTATGCGTTCAAGTTTCGTCAGCTGACTCTTTGATAAAGTAAGCATTCCAAGTCCATAATTTTTCATCACCGACTTGATTACATGCTGGAATATTGTGAACAGCATTCTTTCTTTCATGTCCACTGCTGCCATAATCTTGAAAGCATTAAGTCCTTTCTTTTTGCATTTCACCATAACTGGCCTCCACTTGGTCTCTGACGGAAAGTTTCTATGGACAATAATACACAGGTACCTCAGTTTGCTTTCTTTTTTTTATGTTTCTGTCATTAATTGTAAGGCTTGGATCATTAGCACTCACAATTATATTGTTCAGCCAACGCCGTAAAACAGCCGCCTTTTCTGAGTTGATGACAGAACCCATCTGTGCAAACCAGTAAGTCACTTTGTCTACAGTTGCCTGGAACCCCTCATAAACATTAGAAGCAAAAGTAGCTGCATTTGACCAGGTATCTTTTCTTGGCCGGTTACTGACCAAACCTTTTGACAGGAGCTATATTCTTTCCAAAAGCATTTGTAGTTTAACAGCAATAATCTTCTCTAGCATCTTGACACAAGTCTTGTGTAGGGTGATTATCCTGAAACCGCTGAGTCTGGAAAGGTCTTTGCCTGGTTTTGGAAGTGGGATTAGGTAAGTAGCTGTGTACCCAATCCTAGGGTACTGATGGAGTTCTGATGTTCTGGTTCTAGTGAAAAGCCATCTCCCCACAGTCTACATCACTCATGCTCTTCATGTAGGCATACCTGACTCTGTCTTGCCCCGGCGCAGTGTCTTTTGCTTTTTTGCAAAATTTATATATACTCTCTACCCTAATGATATCTTTAAAAAAATGTCATTTATTGTATTAGATAGATTATTCCTAGGTGAATTTCTAAGTTCGCTATCATTATGATCAAGTTAGGCTATACATTTCTTGTAAAATGCTTCCCTTTTGCCCTTGTCTGTTGTTTCTGGTATACCATTACTAGTCTACATGATGCCTGTTTTTATCTCTCTCTGTTGTTTTTGGTATACCATTTCTAGTCTATATGATGCCTGTTTTTGTCTCTGTCTGTTGTTTCTGGTATACCATTTCTAGTCTATATGATGCCTGTTTTTATCTCTGTCTGTTGTTTCTGGTATACCATTTCTAGTCTATATGATGCCTGTTTTTATCTCTGTCTGTTGTTTCTGGTATACCATTTCTAGTCTATATGATGCCTGTTTTTATCTCTGTCTGTTGTTTCTGGTATACCATTTCTAGTCTATATGATGCCTGTTTTTGTCTCTGCCTGTTGTTTCTGGTATACCATTACTAGTCTATATGATGCCTGTTTTTGTCTCTGCCTGTTGTTTCTGGTATACCATTACTAGTCTATATGATGCCTGTTTTGAGAGGTACCTGAGGAAGGTGAAATACAGAACCACGATTTAATGATCCTGATGCATGTCATAGACTTCTTCGTTATATCTTGCGCGCGCGCGCGCACATGCACACACACACACGCACTCACACACACACAGACGTGGAGTTTCGTATTTGCGCTTCGAGTCGCTGCTTTATGTGGCACCTTTAATGCCTTCCCCGACAAAATGTCATCTAGGAGGAATTCAACTTTAAAAAAAAATGTTTGGGTTGTGGCAAAAATAGAACATCGATTATCCTTCAATGTGATCAACGATAGCAGTTTTAAAACGTTAACGGCCATTCCAAGTCAGTGTTGGAGATGTTATGCTTTCTCGTTGCCACTAGGCCTCATTTTTCATGATCGATCGTTCCTTATGTTAGTGGCGTCTGGAAACGGGCCAAACAAGCGACAAGCACTTCACAACCTCTTTGACGGACCTGAGTAGACTGATACAAGGCAACTCCACGATATGAACGCTTCTGTGAACATCAATTTCAGCCGTAGACAGATTATTTCCCCAGACTTACAACTCAGAACCAAATGTGAGGTTTACGAATACAGCCCGTATTACCCATGTGTAATCCGCTAGGTTATCACCCTTGATTAGTAGTTCTCTTACAATACAAAGTAAGCTATGTTATGTGTGTGTGTGTGTGTTTGTGTGTAATGTGAGTGTGTATGTGTGTGTGCGTGTGTGTGTGCGTGTGTGTGTCTGTGCGATGTAGCGCAGGGGTATACGTGCATGAGCACCTATCTGTGTCGCATCTGGTACAACAGCCAATTCTTCTTCTTCTTCTGCCTTTCTATCCCCCAATGGAGCATAGGCCCTCAACCAACACACACCAAGTCGTTCTGTCCTTCACCATTACATGGAGCTCTCCCCATATCCTCCCCATCTTTCTAACTTCATTCTCCAGTTCTCTACTCCATGTGTTTTTGGCATTCCTTTATCGCTATGCTCCTGTGGGTTCCAATGCAAAACCATTCTAGTTATGCTGTTTTCTTGTTTTCTCAGTGTGTCCTATCCAGCGCCATTTAATTCCCTCTATTCTGCATAGCCACCAGTTAATGAATCTCTGTAATTTATTAGTAATTGCCTTAGTTGTTCTCCATGCTTCCGCCCCATACAAAAGTACTGATTTGACATTAGAGTTAAAAAATGTTGTTTAGTATTTCTTTTAATTTTTTTTTTTTGACCTCCACGAATTCCCTAATTCTATGAAAGCTCCTCTTGACTTTTGTATTCTTATTTTAATATCTTTATCAGTTCCTCCATCTTTATCTACATTACTGCCCAAATAGGTGTACGACTCCACGTCTTGGAGTGGAGTGCCATTAAGAGAAACCACATTACTATTTGCCGGATTTATTATCATTATCTTTGTCTTTCCTTCATGGAAGTTCAGACCAAGCTGCTGTGATCTCGCATCAATTATATTTAATTTTTCCTGCATCTGATTCCGTGAATGGAACAGAAGAGAAATATCATCAGCAAAGTCCAGATCCTCAAGCTGTTTTGTAGGGGTCCACCGAATTCCATTTTTGGTGTTAGCGGTTACTGTTTTCGTAACGAAGCAACAATTCCGACAGCCAATTATTAAAAAAAAAAAAAAAAAAACTTACCTTCTCTTATTCACAGTGAAAAAATGTACCTATTGAATGGATCTGCAGTGGTAACAATGCTAAACGCATTCATGCCGGACCAAGTGCCTTTGGTTTGAACTAACGAGGGGTTAGTATTTGAACAGGTCCACCAAACCTAAAATAGGAATCGGGAAAAAAAATGCCGATTAGACATGACACATGTGTCTAAAATCCAATGCCTGCTGTTTAATGGCTTGACCGAGCTCCCTTCATTTGACTGTACACACATGGGATATCAATCATGCGACGTTTCTTTAGTGCTAACAGTCTACACTTATTCCGTTTTTAACCACCTGTCATCACCTTCAACTAATTTCTGCCCCCAGGAAGCATCAGTTTTTATTTTCGAAAAGAAAATTGCAGACAAGCTTCATAAGCCCAGAAGAAGAGAGGTAGTTGCCGAAACGTTGCGCAAAGATGTGTGGTACTTGGAACAGTTGAAACATCCCAAAATCTTGACTGTATTACATGGAATCGAGGAATGCCAGTAAGTATAACCACATCTGTTTCTTGTACACAGGTATCTATGACAATGTCAGGAGACTGTGTTGCACAGCAATCAGTCTACTAATTGTTTTACATTGAAATATACATTGTCTGTACAGCGAACATGCTTCTTGTGTGTCTAATGTGCTGTGTGGTGTTCTGTAACGTTTCATGTACTCTATTGTCTATAATCTCCCTACGGTGTAATGTATTATTTACAAGTTATAATATATTGTGTATGATCTCAGCCAGGCTAATGTATTGTGTATGATCTCAGCCAGGCTAATGTATTGTGTATGATCTCAGCCAGGCTAATGTATTGTGTAGTCTCTATTTGGCTAATCCGCTGTGTAGTCTAGATCTGCATCTTAATTTTGAGAACAATCGTCATAAAGTTAACCTTTTGTGTACAGTCTTTGTATAGCTGATTTATTATATAATGGCTGTTACATTATGTCTGGTAGTTTTTTGTGGCTACAACACTGTATTATAATACTTTACGTTTAGTCTTAAAGGTCAGTTATCAAATACTGGAAGTATATTATCAAATACTTGTTTCTTAAGGTTAAACCCTCGAGTTAGCAATACAGCCAACACGCAACTAATATACCTTTCTCAGAGGGCATGTTCTGGACAACAGCACTATCGCAAGCATTACAGGTATAAGACACATTTGTCAGTTTCTCAGAACTAGCGATACCACTCTGGCTCGGAGAACCAAAAGACTACCAACATTTAAAACTTGTACATCATTTATTGTACAACCAAATCAATAGTAAAACCTTAGAATGTATGACTAGATAATCATAAATGTAGAAAAAGCCGCAAGGGACCATACACAGGAGGGGTCCACCGTTCATCAGTAGAAAGATCCCTCATCGACTATTGTTTGGGCACAGTACTTCCTAGACAACTCAGAAGGTGGGCCCGACCTGGGTCATGACCTCAGGTCACGATCTTTCCCTGCTGAACTTTATCGGACTTTATATGGACTGACTGACTGACTTTCTACCCCACTAGGACATCACACAAGCGATAAACACCCGATGACACAAAGTGCCACCATGTGGATGAGGATCGCCGTGGAGAGGTCACAGAAACCGCGTTCAGACAATTGGCCATATTTAGGGCCCGCCTATATTGCGGTCCCTGACAAAAGCCAGGGTGGGGCTTAAAATAACAAAAAATTTCGTCCTAAAAAGAACACGTATTAATACCTTATATGGAAATATAGTGAAGTGGAAGATAATAAATATAATGGAAAAAATAAGCAACCACATCTGATGAATTTAAATGTATCCAATCAGGAAAAAATAAAGCTGTATTATGACAGACATTACCTATTGGCGTGAAGTGTTAAGGCTTACGTCGCGGCATACTGAGGTGAAAAGAACAGTTCGTTGCTGTAGCAGAAATTTGTCACAATGATTTTCAAAGCGTACTGGATCCATTTTGGATGAGGAAACAGGATCAAGGCAGTCTAGATGTTAAACTTAGACCACTTTTGTTTTAAAATAACACAATAACCATATTTTATTACAACGTATTTTAATATATGAATGAAGTTGTAGAACAGAAATAACAACATTAAAATAAAAGTAACAAAACGAGAACACAATATTTCATAGTGTTAAACGCATGAAATGTACGTAATGGTCATCTGACTGACTGACACAGGAAATCTCCATCGATGTCATCTTAACTGGCAAATGCGCATCAGCACAATATCCCTGGGAAAGTCCTAGTCCTAGTCTTTCTGAGAAAAAAATGAAAAGGTCGACCACTTTCAGACTGCTAACAGTCTCCGCCTATATTTGTGGTCTGGGTTATTTGTGACACTTTCGTGACTAAATTCTAGTATTGTGTCATTTCTGGGCTTGATGTTTCCATCCGCTCGTTCTGCACCCTGTTGTAAGCTGTTCGTTTTTTCCTCTTCTTATCTGAGGTCTCCTTTTGGTGTAATCTCTCTCTGATTTGGCCGGGCGTATTTCTTAGGAGAGCCAGCTTTTCCACACAACGTCCTTTGGACCACCATTTATAGTTTTAAAACTATTTTATTTTGCCAAAAAGTAATGAAAAAAGTTTTTGATTTTGTGTAGTTCCGAAATTTGAAAATTTTCCACGTATGACCATAGTAGTCTTATAGTTGTCTTCCTGTAATAAGAACGGGTTAGTCATGTCATAGATATGTGTGTGAAAGGTTGTGTAGAGCCTTAAGCGGGTCCAGTCGTCATTTGTTAGTGTGTGATCGGGTTGTGTCGGTTTGGGTTGACAGCTAAACTCCGGTGTACGTAAATACCATATACCTGGAGCATCCAGCTCACGCTTTGAGATCCAAATGTTCGGCGATGATAATTGCTGTGGCATGTGGGGTAATGAACTTAAGTGCTCTCTGTTGGAATGGGTTGTGGGGTTAAACTCGTAGTGCATCCGAAAGAGGTAAGGAAGGATTAGGGGAAAGGGGGCGGGAGGCCATTCAGTCACTTCTCGAAGTTGCCGTCTTGCTGGATTCTAGCGTGGCCGTTTGCCGCGACTATGTGTATCACGTTACCAACCTTTGCTATTATGCCAGTGATGGGGAAGTATTGGTGGTTATTTGTTCTAGTCCTGTCAGTATCGAGTCACTTGTTTTCTCTATTTGCTATCAGTCATATCTTGTTGTGAGTCCTACCGGTCATGTGCATGTTGTATGCATGCTGTGGAATGGGATGGTTTTGTGTATGAATCACCGGAGTATATGGTCAGAAAAGCGGAACCGTGCCTAGTATGTTTAAATAGCTGACGTCTGGGAAGAACACACACGACATCTGTGAGACGATCCTGCAGTCATTGTCGCGCCGTTATTGACACTACCTGACCATGAGAGGTAGGGAGCGCAGGATGCGTACTTGCAGCCAAAGTACAGCGTAGAGCTCTTGAAGTACAGGGAATAGCTAGCACGGTTACACCATCCAGCAGGAACATGGGATGGGAATGAGAAACGGTTGCACCCAGATGCCTCGAAGGCAGTAATTATGCCAGTGCTTTTATGAAAGATGCTATCTACATGTCCTTACCACTTCTGTGAAGGAATAACAACAACAACGTATGGAAATTAAGTACATACACAGTTCCTCACAACTGTGCAGTAAGTGTCAGTTGTGCATTTGTTTCTTCAGCGGTTACTATCTGTGACGTGACGGGTGGTTTTAATGTTTATAAGTTGAGTAGGGATGTTCCTCTCAATACGTTCCCTCCACCAGATTAACGGAACTAAAATCTGAGCTGTGTTGCTCTCAGACAAAGTCCTGGATACCCAAGAAAACAACCATATTGGCTCGTTAAGTACTTTAACATTAGCTGCACTTGGTACCCACAAGAGAAGGCAAGGAATTTTAGATGTCTACCATTATATTTAATGGATTATTAGACAGGGCAAATGATTCCTCCGTCATCTACCTTCTCCCGGTGTTATTATGAATAATTAAAGAATTATTATCATATTAATTGAGCTCCCACCAAATGTACTTCTATCTATCAGTTTAGAAAACAGGTAAGATTGAATACACTTGGAATTTAACACACGATGTAGTATAAAACTTGACATACAGCTTTATTTTCTAACAATCAGTTAATTGACATACCCAGTTTGTTGTGTTTACACAAACAGTGACTAGCTAAAGTTATGATAGTAATGGGTTGTTTCAGCGCGAGAACAGCACCTGGGATTAGAGTGGTGTGATGAAGGTGATAAAGTATGAACAATTTATGAACATAACTTGTGTTTCATAGAACCTCTGACAGCCGTGAGCACTGTCAAGCTCTTCCTCCTCTTCCAGCTTCTTCCCTGCTTGTTTCTCCTCCTCGCCCCCACCTCGTTCCCAGCTGGCCGAGTCTAACACAATGTAGTCTACTTCATGGACTGATCGTCACATGGGCGCTGTAATCATGGAAACAAAACACATACGTGTAGTATCTTGACTTACACTAAGAATACATGTATCAATTAATACAACATATAATAATAAGATATAGCCCATCACTCCTCCTCATATTCCACATCCTCTTCAGTCTAGTCTGAAGGTCTTTTGTCTTACATGGGCGTCACATATCCTGCCTTCCCTCATAAGCTATGTCATGATAGTTGACTTTCTAAGTCTGTTGTCCGTCTTCACTCAGACTTCCAATCATTGTTTTTACATCAACACGTGGGGCAGGTTATGTGCTGAAACTCCAACGATTTTATATGTGCATGCTGTCCTGAATATTATCTTTCAGTGACAGTAAATACTGTAAACCCATCATTCTTCCCATGGGGTTATAAATCCCCTGTTTAGGTGAACACATTAAGTGTGCACATGGTGGGCACACAAAACGTAGCAGCATCCCTGCACATATTTTGGCTGATCATGGAAACAATATAATTACATTTCATTATAGCAAATGTCATTGTTCACATCTTATTTTATACACATGAAAACACACTGAAAAACAAGTGACACAAACATACAAGAAATAGGAATAGTTTAGCAGTTCCCTAACTTGAGATACTGAATACTCACAAAGAACTATTTCAAGCAGAATGTGCAGACAAATTAGGAAAAGGTAGTATAGACTAAGCTTAACTCCCTAACCTATGTATACAAGATTAAAATAAATATTCACCTGGGAACTTTCCAGCAAATGCCAAACACGACTTAACCCGTGAGAAAATACTTTTCTACGGTAAGACTGAGTCTGTGGCCTGCTGGCGGCACTATGAGGTAAATCTACAATGCCCGCAGTATAAGTATCAATCTATTGTCCAAATTAAACTCCTCCCTTTACTGGGTTCTGCCCAACCCTCAAGATGATGACTTAAGCCACGCCTCCGGAGTACCTCTCAGATCAAATTAGCTAACAAGTGGCCTGTCAGTCAATTCTGGACTGACATCTCTAGAGCAAACAGTCTTAAGTGACCCAATCTAGTTTACACCGAATCTAACTGGCCGGTGTGAAAGACGGTCAGTGAAGCCATTGTGT